ATTTTAAATGACATGATCGATTATGAAAAATTGAGATTGATACTGAGATTTCATAATTGATCATGGGTGTCTATGATCAATCATGGCTAAGGTCAATAATTGAGCCGAATTATTTGAGCTTGATTCAGATAGGACTCGACTCAAACTGGACTCATGTTTTAAATGAGCTGAATTTGAAAAAAAAAATTGACTCGTTTAAAAAATGAGCCTAAAAGGCTCAGCTCGAGCTCGCAAAGATCGGCTCATTTAAGGTTTTGTTTGAGTTCGACTCATATTCTAAACGAGCAGAGTTTAAACAATTTTTTAGACTCGATTAAAAAAATGAGGTCAACCGTCTTAGCGCGAACTTGCAAAGTTCGGCTCGATTATTAGTCCTAATCATGACCTTCCTTTGAACAGTTATAACTTCTCATTTTAAAATTGTAACTTTCCCAAAAAAGTAATAACCAACGGTGCCAATACTAAATTTTTTTTTTCAGTACCATTGAATTACCCCAACTCAAATCCTCATTCCTTGCCTCACTCTTGCAATTCATAATTCTCTTAATTATTTACTATTCTCTCTCTCTCTCTCTCTCTCTCTCTCACACACACACACACACAACATCTTTCTTTATTAGCTAAAAGGGTCGGTGACATGTTCTTTTCTCTCTTCTTAAGGCATGTTACTCCTCAAGCAATACAAACCACAAGGAACCCCTAATCTAACCACTAGCAAAGCTAAAAGAGCTATATATTCTCCCCCACAAAAGACCTTTTTGGAGGAATTAGTTGTTGGTTTGGTTTTATTGAGGAGTTTCCATGAATAGATAAACCTTTGACCACAAAAAGTACTCTACAAACTCCTCCACCCGCTCCATCTAAAGGGGGGCTTCATCAAGACAACAACACTCTTCATGAAATAATAAACAAGCCGCTTACTTTGGCTCAAATTTTGAAAACACTCAATGATTAATAGAACAGTGCACATTATCTATTTTGCAATGCGGCCATTGAGATCGTGGCAGGATCGATGGCCATGCTTTCTATATAATTTTCTTAATTTTTGACTTTTGTTGAACATTTATAATGATTAAAATATTCAGACAATACCTTACCCCTTTCGTTTTTTTAATCATACATGTTTTGTACCTCAAAATAGGGGTGATCTTGGGTTGGACACTTGGGCTTCATTTCCCAACCCAAATAATTTAGGGGCTCATTCAAATTTATAGACCCAAGAGTAGTGGAGAAAAATAAAAAATAGATTTTGATTCTACAAAATATATTTTAATTGTTTTTAGATATAATAAAAATAAAAAAACTAAAAACCGAAAAAACAAAAATACATTTTTTTGGTCGGATACTATTACATGGGAGGGCAACAATGAGATTCGAAATTAAGTCAATTATTATATAATTTAAAAAAAAACAGAGAGAGAGAGAGAGAGAGAGACATGATCATGGGTGGGATTATTCCCATCCCACCAATATACATTCCCACCCTATTAAAATATTTATTATCAAACTATTAAGCTCATCTTTTTTATAATCACCCTATACTAGATACTATATATGCTCCTTTAATAAGTAAGTTATCTTGTATAGTCCTCGAGAAAGTCCACTTAGAAAGAAAAGAAAATTAAAGCTTATTGAGGTGAATTAGATTGGTTTTAATAAGCCTTTATAGACTCCATTCAACCTCTAGGTTCTGGTGATAACATCAACTTAGTTATAGCATTTGGAAACTAGTATTGAGTACACTGCTAGGTAGGCATAATTCACAAGAAGGACAGAATGAATGAAAATCCTAATTGTAAGAAGATTTAAAGATGATATTACTTATTAAAGAGTTGTATATATTATGGGATGAACTTAGTTATTAATGGGGTAAATATAAAAAAGAATGAGATTAATAGTTTGATAATAAAGATTTTAATGGAAAGAAAATGGATATTTGTGGGGGTGAGAATAACCATGATCATTGAATATAGGAAAAATCGCACTTTGCACCCTGAAAAATTTAAGAATTTGTGCTTTGTATTGACCAAAAAAATAACATAAATTAATAAAAGAGTCACATTACAATATTTTTAATATATTGAAGATGTAATATAAAAAAAAACTAGCAATTGCTCATGCCTGAAGACATGATGTTACTTGTAAATTAGTTACAAATATTTGCTCATACATAAATGTAAAGTAAAATACAACATTGTAGTAAACGACGAACAAAATAAGCCCGCTATTATTTTTTATAATATCAACTTACATGTATAGTATATATTTTCACATTAAATTGTTACGCCACGAAAATTATGTTATAACTATTGAAACATAATAATTCAAACATCTGAAAAAATATATCAGTTGACAATATTCAATGTTCTATTTTTGATTCAAAATCAACTTTATTTAAATAATAACATAATTCATAACTAATAAAATAAAAATTATAACAATACTTTCGCAAATAAACTAAGTATGTAGATATTGTCAAATAACCAAATATAATTATCAGAAATTTAATCGACTTCCAAACGATACGACATGACTATTAAATTTGTATGATTCGAGTTTATACCAGTGCTTTTAATTTATATCATTCTTTTCGGTTATTTATATTCTTAGTATATTTTTTTAAACTAAACGTTATTTAGTATTAGATTATTTAGTAAAGATTGTTACTTCATGTTGTTCTCTAAATATTGAATTTGTATGATTCGTGTTCCTATTGCTTATAATTTTGTATCGTTTCTCTTGTTTATAATTTTGTATCATTTTTCTTAGGTATTTAGATTTGGATTATTTAGTAAATATTGTTACTTTGTATTGTTCACTAAATATTGAATTTGTATGATTTGTGTTTATATATTTTAAATGTTAAACATATTTTTTTTAATATACTTCTTGATATCTGAGTTGCCCAATAACTTAAATTTAATCTTATATATTTTACATGTTAAGCTTATTTTATTTGTTAAATTAAATTTTTTACAAGTTATGTTTTTTTTATTGATTATGAAAAAAATAAAATTGACTATTGAATTTGTATGATTTGAGTTTATAATAATGTTTTTAATTTTATATCATTTTTTTGAATTATTTATATTTTTAGTATATTTTCTTAAACTAAACGTTATTTACTATTTGATTATTTAGTAAAGATTATTGTTTCATGTTGTTCCCTAAATATTGAATTTGTATGATTCGTGTTCATAGTATTGCTTATAATTTTGTATCGTTTCTCTCGCTTGTAATTTTGTATCATTTTTCTCGGGTATTTACATTTGAATTATATAGTAAATATTGTTGTTTTGTATTGTTCACTAAATATTAAATTTGTATGATTCGTGTTTGTATATGAATTTAATCTTGTATATTTTAAATGTTAAACATATTTTCTTTAATATATTATATATCCCTTGATATCTAAATTACCCAATATATTGAATTTAAGCTTGTATATTTTACATGTTAAACATATTTTTTTTGTTAAATTATATTTTTTGCAAGTTAAGTTTTTTTTTATTGATTATGGAAAAAAATAAAATTGACTGTTGAATTTGTGTGATTCGTGTTTGTAGTGTTGCTTGAATGAAAAAGAGAGATACAGAGGAATAATTTTGTGATATATACTATATATCTAATATTTATTATATAATTTTTCTTCAGAGAAAGATAAGAAGAATATTTTTATAATATTTTATCTCTCTATGATATATAATACCTGTCTATAGAGAGATACAGTATTTACTTGAATCAAGCATTATCTAATATTTGCGTGAGATACAGAAAAAAATATTGTGAAAAATTGATACTTTTTGCATGAATTGAGCGTGAGAGAGATATAGATGAATAAGAGAGAGAGATTTACTTGATTTAAGGAAAAAATTTGGGGAATTAAATTTTGGAATATCAATTTTGAAAACTATAAATTTTGAGCAGTAAAAATATTTTAAAAGAGTTAATGTGATACGTCAGATTAAAATGATCTGAGATATCAATAGCTCGAGACAGTTTGGGATAACATCGTCCGTTAGATAATATTTGTTTTGGTCACGAAATGATCTAAACCATTTTTTGTCTCTAAAATTCAAATTCATTATATTTTATTATATAGATATAGTATTTGCTTGAATCAGACATTCTAAAATTTTCGTGAGATATAAAGAAAAATATTGTGAAAAATTGATACTTTTTGTATGAATTAAGTGTGAGAGAAAGATACAGAGGAATGAGAAAAAAATTTGCTTAATTTAAAAAAAAGATTTGAAAGAATTAAATTTTAGAATATTAATTTTGAAAACTATAAATTTTGAGCAGCAAAAAAATTTCAAAAGAGTTAATGTAGTACGTCAGATTAAAATGATCTAAGACATCAATAGCTTGAGACAGTTTGAGATAATGTAGTCCATTGAATGATAATTTTTTTAGTTACAAAACGATCTGAGCCGCTCTTTGTCTCCAAAATTCAAAATCGTTCTACTTTATTATATAGATATAATATTTGCTTGAATCAGGCATTCTAAAATTTTCGTGAGATGCGGAGAGAGATATAGAGAAAAATTTTGTGAAAAATTGATACTTTTTGCATAAATTAAGTGTGAGCGAAAGATACAGAGGAATGAGAGAGATTTACTTAATTTAAGGAAAAAATTTGAAAGAATTAAATTTTAGAATATTAATTTTAGAAACTATAAATTTTGAGCAGCAAAAATATTTCAAAAGAGTTAATGTAGTACGTCGGATTAAAAAGATCTGAGACGTCAATAATTTAAAATAGTTTAAAATAATACAGTCTGTTGGATGATGACTTTTTTAGTTATGAAACGATTTGAGCTGTATTTTGTATCAAAAATTTAAACACGTTCTACTTTGTTATATAAATTTAATCTTCAACAGGAAAAAGTGAGAAGATTCGAGGACGAAGTGCAATTCGCCCTTCAATATATTCCCGCCAAAACAAGGTTTAGTACTCATTCGAATGTATCCCAAAGCCCACACCACGAGAGAGAGAGAGAGAGTAAAGTAGATTGAAATCAGAGCTCATCGTCAATGGAGGTGAAACAAGCAGGATCGTCACTCGATTTCTTGATCTCATCATTCAACACTCGAATTGCAGAGCTCCAAGAACTCGTCATCGCTCGCAACAGTAAGTCGCACCCATTAAATTTGTCAAAATTTCTTTGTTCGTCTCCTAATCTCATCCAAACTCTGCATTTCATCTTCACCCCAATCGTCTATTTTGGCAGTGTATCCGGCAAGCAGCGTCACCGATTTATCAGCCGTCGATGCCGCATTGAAGGCTATGGAGCTTCAGGTGCACCAAATCAAACACCGATTGCACGAAGAGACCCAAGCTATCCCCAAGGCCAAAGTACTCATTTTCCTCTCCCTCTCTCTCTCTCTCTCTCTCTCTCTCTCTCTCTCTATATATATATATATATATATATATAAATATACAGCGTGTGTGTTTACCTGTAATAAGGGTGGTTGTTTTGGGATTTTAGAAAATTCAAATTCTGGATCTGCAGTTGAATTATGATGTTGTTAGGTGAAATTAATCTGGATTATTGGGCGGAAATGTAAGCATTAGATATATGTTGATGTATTTGTATATTTTCTAAACATGAAATTACGGTTTTTGATGATTTGATAGGGATGCAAAATTCTGACTAGTCATGAATTGTGAGTTACAGGGGGTCTTGAATTGGGCTAAGCTACATTTAATGGAAATTTTTTGCTAAATTTGCACATTCTGTTGAAAATTTTGAGAAGGACTGTAGGAGGGTAAAAATGTTGGGATTTTTATGATTGTTGCTGTAGGTTCCGTTTGATGGAGAAACTATTACTAAATAAATTGGGTGAACCAAACAGGAAAAGCAAAGAAAAACTTTGAAAATTGAAAATATACTTTTTCATGTGCTGCTTTTTAATGCTGGATAAAGTTAGTTAATGTGGATCAAAAGTATGACCAGTTCATGAAATTTTGTTTGTGATTTGTATGGAATCATTTTTTCCTTTTCCTGGTTGCAGAAGCTGATTGAAGCATCACTGCAGCAACAAAAGAAATTGCAGAGCATGTCTGCTTTTGTTCCAGCGTATCTGCCAGAAAAAGCTACAGCTTTGCATCAAGATATAAATAGAGGGTAAATTTATCTTTTCCTGATTCAATTGTCTTTTTCATTCCAATATCATTTCTTTTGGGGGGTGAATGTCATGAACAAATGGTACTATTTTTATTTTATTGTTTAGCTTCAATATGCTCTCAGAAACCTCCAAAGAAGATTTTGCATTTGGGACTTTGAAACTTGAGGAGGAACCTGCAGTATTACCCAAAGTAAGGAACTATTTTCTCTGTATAGACTTGATGTTTGCTCATGCTGGGCATGTTCAAAACTCTCTCGAATCACTTTTGTCCAAGCTGTTCGTATCTTGAACTCATTAATTGTTGGGTGCTGTTTGAACCTGGTTTATTCACTGTTCAGCATCTTTAGGCTACCTAAGAAATCAAGATACTTATAGTTTGGGCAAGTTGATAATTTTACAAGGTCCACACAAGAGGCACATGCACAGTTATATATAGGACGGACATGGGGACATTCTCAACTTAAAAGCACTATATTAGTTTGGGGAATACAAATTTTGATTTAATTGGAGGTTTATCAGCTCAACCAGTGGAGGAAATGGGCACAAGAATTAATTTACGTTGATCCCCTTACAAAAAAAAAAAATGTCGCAGCTCAAACCTCTCCCCAACCCCAATACCTACCACCACCACAAGGAAAAATAGTGGCAGAAATGGAGTTAATGAGAAATTATCAATTGCTGCCGGTTAAAAATGCTAATAATTTCAGAGCGAGTACAATGCAAATACTTACTTATGTTGATCTGCATTCTAAAAGCTTTCAATTGGTTTTGTCCTCTTAGGCCCAGGAAGTAGCGTTCCTTGTATCATCTTATTTATAATTTTGTTTAGTGCCATCAACCGGCACCAATTCCCCTCACTCCCTTCCTGTGTGACAACTTAATAGTCATTATTCGTCAAGCAATTGAGCTCACATGAGTACCACAGCCAGATTGGGGGACAGGGTCACCAAGTGCAATGGTAGGGTCTTTTGTTAGAACTGTAATATAACGCTATAAACCAAACTTTCTATTTCAATTGGAAAACAAGGTGAGGTAAGTCAACAATGCAGTCAATCATATCGCAATTTTCTTCTACATAATTTGAAAAATTGCTCCTAACACAAAGTTGGAATTGTCTTAACTACTTATTTGACTGTCTACCAGGAGAAAAAGGGTCGTGGTCCGCCACCACTATGGTACATTACTGCTGAGGAGCTGAATTCCTTGTCATCGTGAGTTCATTCAGTTTTTCTTAAGTACCATTACAACACCTTTAGTATACTTCTATCTAGTCTCTGATTTACAATTTGTACATTGATTTTTTTGCCCTTTTTGGTTATTCCTTTTTTTTTTGTTCCACTTTTTTGGTTTTTTTTTTTTTTTTTGGGGGCGGGGGGTGCTGGTGGAGGATTTATGTTGCCATTTTGTTATGTACTTATTTCTTTTGAGTGAAAGAATTTCCATGTTCACCTAGTTTATTCTGTTCTATCCCCAGCTGACAGTCACAAAATGTAGGTACATGAAAGGGAGGCTTACTTTAGAGAAGGTCAATGCAGCTATTAATGATATGGCAACATATGCTGAAGTAAATGGCCAGCTTATAACCGCTCCACGAAAAAAGGTTCCTTCTATTTGTGTTTGGATTTTTATTCTTTCAAATGCAGTTGCTAACCTATTTTCCATTTATCCTAATTATGATTTCTTTCTTTATGGAAGTTGTCAGAAAATGTCTTGGACAGAGCCCTGGTAAGTGAACTTTTGTCCCGGTCACACAATTTGAGATTTCCTTTAACTTGTTATTTTGGAGTATTATGTTTACCTCTGAGGTACGTCCAATGTTGATCCATCAGCTAATTTTGGTATTGCCATGAAACTTGCAGGACTTAAGAGATATTGCAACGACAGAAGCCGTGAAGGGAAAACACTTTTTCCTTGAAACTGATATCAAAGGGCCTGCATTGAAGCTTGATAATACTGGAAAGGCAATATTGACGGTATGTGGTTTCATACGTTCTTGGTGATTTCAAATCAGTTTGTGGCATGAAAAGCGGAGAACTACACTAAATTGCTGTATGATCCTGATGTCCCACATCGGTTAGGGAGGAGAAAGTTGCTGGATTTATTATTAAGTCCCTCGTCTTATGTTGTATAAACCTTTTCCCAGGAATACTGGGAGGAACAAAGCCGTGAGGGCCAGTGGACCCAAAGCGGATAATATATGCTATGTGGAGGGTGGGGTGTTACAAATTAGTATCAAAGCCGACTCTCGCCTGATCGAGTGTAGGCCCTGACCGTGCTCGCATGTAGTGAGCGGGCAGGTAGCTAGCGAGCTGTTGAATGGGGACGTGAAGCTCTAAGGGGGTGTGGGAAAAGTTGCTGGCTTATTAGTAAGCTCCTCGTCTTAGATGGTATAAGGGAAAATAAACAGGTTTATTAGTAAGCTCCTCGTCTTAGATGGTATAAGGGAAAATAAACAGGTAGCTGGCGAGCTGTTGAATGGGAACGTGAAGCTCTAAGGGGGTGTGGGAAAAGTTGTTGGCTTATTAGTAAGCTCCTCGTCTTAGATGGTATAAGACCTTTTCTCAGGGGTATTGGAAGGAACAAAGTCTTGAGGGCCAATGAGCCCTAAATGGATAATATTATGCCATGTGGAGGGTGGGGTGTTATCCCTAACTGATGTGGGACACCAGGAGCTTACAAAAATTCTCTTGTTAGAAAATGGAGTCCAATGAACTGTAGGCTTTATGATGTGATTAGATTGATAATGAAGTTGACCCCATTCTGTACATAGAAGATATGGCTTTCATTTTGGTGAGAATCTGGCATTTTAACCTTGCAAATACGTTGCTTGACAGGTTCTTCGACATCTTGGTCGCATAACTGAAAGCCGGGTTGGGCATCACCGTGTGATCATTCTATTAAGGCCTCACTGAATGTACTTTGCCTTCTCAGATTATTTGAAATATGCATCCATTTGTTTCTTCTGCTGTTCATTCTCAATGTTGAATGTTAAGACTTGGTATGAGATGCCACACCCTCAAACAGAAGGTGCAGTTGTTGTAAGTTCATGTGAAAAAATGCTTAAAACTAGTCAAGTTCTTGGGAGAAATGGTTCACATGAGTCAGACCTTTGTTTGAACTACTTTGTGTGGTGCAAATTGGAGCGTGTTCTTCAAATTCTTCCATATATGCCGGGCAAATCCCCATAGTTACCCGCATGGGTTCGATCAGTGGTTGAATGAGAGACAATCATAAACTAAAATGTCCTAAATTCGAGTTTCTTTGTCCGTATAGAATTGGATTCAACCATGAGTGTGTTTTGACAGTGGTTGCATATATTCTAAGTTCGTAGATGCATAGAATCTGGTTTTTACTTTCAGTTGCTAATGAAAAATCTGAGTTTCACTAATTTGTTGCATCATACAACAATTTTTTTTTTTTTTACTACAAACAAAAACTGACGAAATTCCATTTTAAGATTGTGTTATGTCAATGCTTAGAACATGCTGATTTATTTAGTTCTAAATTTTATGTTGGTTCTATGTAAATTTCAGTCATTAAAACTTTAGATAATGATGTTCTTTTTCCCTAATTTCAGGTTTTGGTATAGTTCCGGTTATTAAAACTTTTGTTATTGTAGTAAGAGTTACTATTCAAGTCAAGTGAAATACAACTCATTTAGGTGAGGATGTGACTTAATGAAGTCATCTAGGATTGATCCTAGCTTTTTAAAGTCATAATTCAACTCGAATCGACTCGTAACTGATTTTTACAATATTTTTGAATCACAATCGACAACGATAGAGTTGTATTTTTTAATATGGTACCAAACCCGTTAACATATTCATTCCCTCAACTAATATCTCCCTCAGACAATAATGTACATTGTAACCTAACAAGCAAGCTACGAACAGTCATGAGACAAAGGTTTGTGCACTCTATAAATAGCAGCATTCACTTGTTAATGCTCCATCACATTACACATTTTCAAACTTCACTACTTAAAAAAACCCTAACCTTCACCTAAAGGCTTGGAGAGATGACCACCAAGGCCCATTCCTCAACTACTCTCTTCCTCTTTCTCAGTCTTCTCTTCTTTGTCATAGCTAGAGGTCGAGCTCCTAGTACCAACCCTGCTTCAGCACCAATGGCTAGTCCCACTGGTAATAATTCTTCTCCACCGATGCCTAGTTCTGCTCCACCACCCGCTTCCACAAGCAATAATTCTACTCCACCACCTGCTTCCACGAGCAATAATCCTACTCCACCCACTTCCACGAGCAATAATTCTACTCCACCTGCTTCCCCGGGCAGTGTCTTACCTCCATTGATGCCTAGTTTTGCTCCACCACCTCCATTAATGACTCCAAACTGTAACTGCACCATTGACCCTAGAAGACTAGCCATCTGTTCTCTCCCTCTTTACGGTGTATCTCACTCGGCTGCTCAGCAAGCTTGTTGCCTACAATTGCGTCTCCATAGTAGAGCTGATGCTTATTCCTGCATTTGCAAAGCCATTAACGATAAGACTGCATTGAAGCTTGATAATACTGGAAAGGCAATATTGACGGTATATGGTTTCATACGTTCTTGGTGATTTCAAATCAGTTTGTGGCATGAAATGCTGAGAAATACACTAAATTGCATCTTAATTTTAGTAGTTAGCTACATTTATTCAAAGGTAAGTTTCTACAAATACAGTATCTAAGACATGATTATTTAAGAGCATGCCTCCTTGATACAAGGGAAATTGATATAGGAATAAGTCCTACTATGTTCACTGCTGTTGGTTTTAGCTAAAAACTGAGGGGAAACAAAAGAAAATTCTCTTGTTAGGAAATGGAGTCCAATGAACTGTAGGCTTTACGGTGTGATTAGATTGATAATGAAGATGACCCCATTGTGTACATAGAAGATATGGCTTTCATTTTGTTGAGAATCTGGCATTTTAACCTTGCAAATACGTTGCTCGACAGGTTCTTCGACACCTTGGTCGCATAACTGAAAGCCGGGTTGGGCATCACCGTGTGATCATTCTATTAAGGCCTCAGTGAATGTACTTTGCCTTCTCAGATTATTTGAAATATGCTCGGTTCCATTTGTTTTCTTCTGCTGTTCATTCTCAATGTTGCATGTTAAGACTTGGTATGAGATGCCATACCCTCAAAAAGAAGGTGCAGTTGTTGTAAGTTCATGTGAAAAAATGCTTAAAACTAGTCAAGTTCTTGGAAGAAATGGTTCATATGAGTTAGACCTTTGTTTGAACTACTTTGTGTGGCGCAAATTGGAGTGTGTTCTTCAAATTCTTCCATATATGCCCGGCGAAATCCCCATAGTTACCTGCATGGGTTCGATCAGTAGTTGAATAAAAGACAATCATAAACTCAAATGTCCCAAATTGGAGTTTCCTTGTCCGTATAGAATTGGATTCAACCATGAGTGTGTTTTGACAGTGGTTGTATATATCCCAAGTTTGTAGATGCATAGAAACTGGTTTTTACTTTCAGTTGCTAATGAAGAATCTGAGTTTCACTAATTTGTTGCATCATATAATGAGTTTTTTTTGTTTTTTACTACGGGTGTTTAAGTTTACGCCGACTATTCTCTCGATCTCTGAGACCGACTATCATAATTTGAGCTAATTTAAAGACATGTTTTGAACAAGAGTGGGTGGCTTTTAAGGGGCGTGGCAAGTATCGAATTTGAGATATTTTACTTATAAGAAAGTAGACTTGATCATTGAATTACCTTTAAGGGTTTACATCATACAAGAATTGGTCTCTCGGTTAGGTCAGCCAAACCAGGAAATTGTACTACTACTACAATTTGTGAAGCCTGGATGGGTGGATCAGGATGATGGGAAAATGGAACCATGTCCCTGACCACTACCAAGTAAAAGCAAACATCAGGACATTTCTGTGAACCATAGATTACAGTTTGGAAGCAAAAAATGCGAATGAGACTGAGTGGCTACAAGTACAGTTTGGATGGATAGAAAAAATGAAATCCGGGCTTGACTTGATTTTGACTCGTTTAAAATTACTTGTACTATAAAATAAGTTAAATATGATCGAAATTTGGAATTTGTTTAATTCAATTTGAACTTGAATAGTGTCCCGCTTGCTTCGGCAAACACAGTTTATTTAGGAATTAGAAAACAAGAAAATTAATGATAATGTGTCTGACTCTTAACCAAGTGATTATGAGTTCAAGACACATTAATGTTTTTTCTTTAACTTATTCAAACCTAAGCGTGAGTTGAGTTTAAGTTCATGGTACATAAATGAGTCGAGTTGAGTTGAGTTGAGTAGAATCCAAGAACATGATCTAAAGATTGAGTTGAGCTCTTGAGCTAAGCCTAAAAATGGTGGTTAACTTGAACTCATTTTGGAGCATACCATAGTTCAAAAGACTTGCTTTCAAATACATTCTCACAACAACCATTCAAATCAAGAAATAAATGATTTAGAAATGTAAATGGATTGGATTTTGATTCAAATTCAATTATCTGGATATGGATTGATATTTTTTATCGAAAATTTGAATCTGTTATTTTTATATTTCACGGATTTGAATTTGGATATACTTATATCTGATCCAATTATGGTTCAATCTGAAATATGTGCATATTTCTATATAAATATTAAGAAATTAAGTGATTATTTTAAAAAAATTAGATGTAATTTGTTAACTTATAGTTAGACTAAGTTATTTAGGTCGGATCAAATTTTAGATAATTAACGGATTTTGATATGAACTATGAAAATAAAATTCATCGAATAATCGGATCGAATTCAAATCAGACTTTTAAATTTAGATTTAGATCTGTCAAAATCCGAGTCAAATTCGATCAGTTCACAGGCCTAAAATCATTGAGAGGCCTACTCACGACAATCATTTCAATTCAAACTCACCTTTGATTAGTGACAATGTTACTTGGACATAATTTGTTGACCTTATTGTTGATTTAATGCATCATAGACACTAAATTAGTTGCGAGTCCCCACTAATATTTTCCAATTATCAGTAATTAGCCTATAATGGAAGTCATTTCAATGCATGGAACTCCCCCATATAGGTATCAGCAATTAGCCTATAATGGAAATCATTTGACTTCCTGCATCAAAATCTTTCTCTACTCTGTTACTCTCCACTAAACTATATATGTGGCCAGGAAAGGTTATCAAACGCTGCAAACTGCTAGAGTGAATCATCAACAATACTGTCGCGAACAAAAAATTTCAGTATCGTACCATCAAATTTTACAAGTTTAGTAGAAAACAAAACCCAAAACGACTCCACAAGTGCTTTCCCTGGCAGCCATACCTTTAATTTAAGCTCTTTTCACAGAAGAGTGACTAATAATAATGTTTGGTAAAGTTTACAGCAAACTTGTTTGCCACCTGAAAATTTGGACAACACTGGTCTTGCCTGCATGACTACTCTGGTCTTGCCTGCATGACTACTCTTTACTTGATATGTATTATAGTTTGTCTCACATTGATACAATAATACATTCCAAAATTGTATACGAGCTTTATGGGTTTTTTTTTTTAAAAAAAATTATTATAATTGTTTTCAAGTTGGATACTTTGTTTTCAATTTCATTCATTTTTTTCCAATCTCATCCTACCGACTATATTTACTATCTAAGGGGGATGTTAAAGTTTGCTTCACTTTGATATAATAACACATCTCAATCTAACTTTCCGAGAAAAAAAAAACACATCTCAAACTAATAAATGTTTATGATGAGTCTCTCCCATCATGGCCCAATGATTTGGATTGGATGCCCTTAAACATAGTATCAAAGCGATGTAGTTCGTGTGGCGAGAATTTTGGTATTTGATACAAACAAAGCGGATGAAATGCCATTTTAAAATTATAAATGCTTAGAACATGCTGATTTATTTAGTTTCTAAATTTTTTGTTGATTCTATGTAAATTCCAATCATTAAGACTTTAGAGAATGATATATTTTTTTTTCCTAATTTCAAATTTTCGTATAATTCCAAACATTAAAACTATCGTTATTGTTCCAAGAGTTACTATTCAACTCGAGTGAAATTAGTTCTTATTTAGGTAAGAATATGACTTAATGGGATCATTTGGGGTTGATCACAATTTTTTAAAGTCATAACTCAACTCCAATCGACTTATAACTGATTTTTTTGAATCACAACTGACTCCGATAGAGTCGTATTTACCAAACTCGATATCATTTTCATTCCCTTAATAATACCTCCCTCAAACAATGTACAATATTGCAACCTAAGAAACAAGCTATGAACACTCATTGTACAAAGGTGTCACTCTATAAATAGCAGCATTCACTTGTTAGTCCTCCATCACTTTACACAATTGCAAACTTCACTACTAAAAAAAACACTACCTTGACCTAAAGGCTTGGAGAGATGACCACCAAGGCCCCTTCTTCGACTACTCTCTTCCTCGTTCTCGGCCTTCTCTTCTTTGTCATAGCAAGAGGTCAAGCTCCCAGTACCAACCCTACTTCAGCACCTATGGCTAGTCCCACTGGCAGTAACTATTCTCCACCGACGCCTAGTTCTGCTCCACCACACGCTTCCACAAGCAATAATTCTACTCCACCACCTGCTTCCACGAGTAATAATTTTACTCCACCTGCTTCCCCGGGCAGTGTCTTACCTCTATTGATGCCTAGTTTTGCCCAACCACCTCTATTCTCCCTCTTTACGGTGTATCTCACCCGGCTGCTCAGCTAGCTTGTTGCCTACAATTGGGTCTCCTTTTTTAGAACTGATGCTTATACCTGCATTTGCAAAGCCATTAACGATAAGATTGTAAACCCTGTCATCCCACAGCAAGTGAACCTGTTGTTAAACCCGTGCCGCCTCTAGGCTACCACTCATAACATAACCTTCATTGTGCTTGAGCAGCAATTTTCTTTGAGGATTTGAAAGGTTAATTTCAATAAGCAGTTTATTTTCGTGTTGTATCGTGACAACAATTTGACGATTCAGTGACAACAATTTGAAGACTCGGGATTGACTAGAATATGTGTTAGACCAACTGCTAGAGTTGCATGAAACAATACTTTCCATAGAAGAAAACGAATCTCAAAAAAAGTATTTGCATGTGCTTTCCATAGCATCCATACACTCTTATGGCATTGTCATCAAATGTCTTCTGCGGGATGTTTCAAGGTAACGGTATTGGTCGTCGATTCGGAGAGTTTTGAGATATATTGATCGCAGCGCACTATCAAATGATACGACCTAAATGAAAATGTTGAACATAACAAGAGATTCAAGTTATACTGTGGTGTCGCGAAACTAAATTGGCCGATTCGGTGACAACAATTTGACGACTCGAGATTGACTCAAATACAACTCAGACGACTTGGTCAACTTGTGCGAGACTCGAGATTTATATATATCGTTACACGGTATCATCTCAGCAGATGACGAGTTGGATATGACTCGGCCGATTCATATATATATAAGTTGATACTTTGAACCATGTTCTACCGAGACTTTGAGTAATGCTATTGGGACATCAAAATCTAAATTTATCTATTGACGTAATGATGTAGTTTTATTTTAACCGTTGGATTAATACTAATTCCTAATATTTAATAGAGCACATAGTCAATTTAAAAATTATAGTGAATTAGATCAGTAAATTTAATAAATTAGATCTCAATAACATTACTCTGTGACTTTTACTCTGTAACTTTTTCACAAAAGAGTGACCAATATTGGTAAAGCTTACAACAAACTTGTTTGCCAAGCGGAAATTTGACCACCAGTCGTCTTGCCTGCATAGTTGCCCTTTACTCTATGTGTTAGAGTTCATCTCACATCGATAAAATATAACAATTCAAATTAATACATAAGCTTTATGGGCCTCTCCACACACATGCGGTTTTGAATTAGATGTCTTGAAGAAGGAATCGTAGTTGGGCTTGGGAAAGTTTTGGGCTCGGGAAATGTTCGTGCTTCCATTAGCAATACCACGAACATTTATTCTTCTCCACGACTGACAAATAGTTCTGCTTCACCTTCTTCCATGGGCAATAATTCCTCTACAACACCGGTGCCTAACTCTATTGACCAGTTGCCATAGAGTGGCTTTGTGAAATGAAAGTTTACCGATCGAAGCTGGAAAAAGTTTGCCACAGACTCGGAGGTATTCATCCTCCTAAAAACAAGAGAACGGGAAAGACTCCACTTCCCCCAACCTTCTCAATCATGACGACGGGGGAGCAAATCAAAATAAAAAAACCTAAATTGGGTTTAGAAATAATCATGCTCAGATTGATAACTTCCACCACATCAAGGTAACACTCTATCGCTGAGTTATATCCTTTCCCCGCCCCCAATATATGCCAAATTCTGCTCCACCTTCTCCAGCACTGATGAATAGTTGTGCTCCTCCTGCTTCAATGGGTACTAATTCTTCATGCCTAATTTTGTTCCACCTTCTTCCATGAGCAGCAATTCTTCTCCATCGGTTCCTAGTTCTGCTTCACCTGCTTCCACAAGCAATAATTCTTACATACCACTGGTGCTTAATTTTGCTCCGCATACTTCCGTGGACAGAAAATCCTCTCCACCACTAACAAATAATTCTGCTCCACCTGATTCCATTGGCAATAATTCTTCTCCACCACCAATTCCTTCTACTCCACCTGCTTCCATGGGCCATAATTTGTCTCCACTGATGCATAGTTTTGTTCCTCCGCCTCCATTAATGGCTCCAAACCGTGGTTGCTCCATAGATCCTAGAAAACTAGCCATATGTTCTATTATACTTAAAGGTGTACGTGGGGAGCACCCACATTCAATTCATTCAGATCCTCCAGATGGTTAGACACTTTCTTGTAATGGGGGAGAGACATGCAAATCAGAACGCTCCTAATTACAATCATTATGACTTGGGCGTTGCTGGTTTGAGTCACAAAAAACAATTCGGACATGTAGATAAGGCTGCGTACATCATTACATCTGACTCTCCATAGACCCGCAATGACAATAATCTTGTGTGGTAGGTTGTCATTTATAAGGAGATGTAGGATTATGAAAAGAGAGACTTAAAAATTAGGAACTTAGTTTAAAATCCCTTCGCAATCTTGGTTTATTACATCAATGAACAAGGGAAAGGAATACATAAAACATCATTTCCAATTACTTACTACTTCATACACACAAACACATGCATGCACACACAAGCGCAGGGGAGAGAAATCTATGCACACACAAAGCCTGTAGGAACCTTCTTTCCACAAGAATTAATGATCAAACTGAGAGCAATAGGTACTTTGAGCTTGATGACACCCAATACATTGGCCTTAATGGCAGTGCATAGACACAATGCAGCTTCAAGATCAGCAAGTCCTGCAATCAGGGCGCAGCACTGGCTGCTAGGTTTGGCCCCAATAATCTCATGAACCAGTCCGAGCCAGTCACCACAAACACCAAACTTTAGGGTGTCTTTAGGGCAATTGGCTGGTTTTTTTGGGGTCGAGGGAACCGCCAGAGAGGCTTTTGGAGGGGGGCATGGGAAGTTGTGGCAGGAGACACAAGTGAAAAAGATGAAGTTGATTAAAATGAGAAGAGCAATTGCCTTAGAAGAACTCATTTTCCCACAACAAGATATGAGTGTTGCTCACTAGGTATTTATAGAAATATTGGTGCACTGGAGTTCACATGCACATCAATTAGCAGAATGGAACTACTGGCCATGATTTTTATTTTTTTGATAAATCATCCCAACCACATACCTTTTCAATTCATGGCGAAGTGCTCTCTCAAATGTTTCCACTCGTGCTCCCACAAGCCAAGAGGTTTCAAGAAAACAGGCGACCAAGTGATAGTGAATGGCTCCGAATATGCATGTAATCACTCACTAATCATGAGCATCAATTAAACCAAAGCAATATAGAACTATAGAGATTTAAACTCATGTCCAAGTCTATGTCTCGTCCTTTGTACAAACCTATGGGGTTGGTCACATATAATGCTGATGGGAGAGAGTATTGATGGCAGATTTTTGTGAACTGGTGATGGTCATGGACTGAATCAAGCTAACCCTCTGTCCATGGCCACTCAAATATGCAGAGGCTGATATATGCTGGTCCTGAACCAAGTCAGAAACTCCCAAGAGTTTGTAGGGCCCTATATTAATTTCTTAATAATTGACATATTTGTTTCTTTCTACCATGCTTTTAATGCTTTGGCCTGTTGTCATGGCAAAAGTTAAAACCTTCTGAGGGTTTAAGTTATGATCGATTCTAAAATGTACTGTTGTGATCCACCCGGACAGTTGGGTTACCAAATGTAAAAGTAATAATAAAATACAAGAATTTCCGCTCCATCAAATATACACATATGATAAAAGGTGTATATATTTATCAGTACATAAGTATATATGAAACTGAGTTTGGGTTAGTTTAAGTTGTTTGGGACACTGACCTAATACGACCTAAATTTACAGTCAAATACTTGCAGATATTCAGGTTGGTCCGAGTAAACCGGTGTCCAACCTGCCCTAGTTGCACCCCTACTCTCAATTAAAAGTTTATTTTGAAAACGGAAGCACATCAAAAAACATTCAATTCATTCAAATCCTCCAATGGTTGGACACTTTCTTCTTGTAATGGGGAGAGACACGCAAACCAGAACACTGCTAATTAAAATCAATTCACTCCCCACATGTTAAAGATCAGAAAATCTCACATCCAGTTGACGGCCAACCAATTCAATAATTCAATAAAATCGTTCAACAGAGTTCTTGTTCAAACTCGGGCAAATAAATCATTCGATGGCAACAATGCATAACAATACATCTTTTTTACACTTGGCTAAGAATGTCCTATAAAGTTTCCAAACTTCGGAATACCTCAATAGTTGATGTCGGCATCCCATAAATGAATGACAGATTGCTATCACTGCAGCTCCTATGTCTTTTTGATCAAGTAGCCAACCAGAATACCAAGTAGACCAAACAGAACCACAAACAAAATGGAGACGCCACCAGCATGGCTTCTGCTGAGTTCTTTTCTCATCAGTTCCTGTAAACAGGAAAATTCAACGGTGGTAATAAAGCATGCATTCACTTTTGAAAACCATCAGTTTGAGCACAAATCATCGCTGAGCCGCAACCAACAGGAATTAGCACAGCATGCTATGAAATCATTCGAATCACTGACCATTTAATTTGCAGGGTCTAAAAGGGAGATCATATTTCTTAAAAGAAAAGTAGATTTTTCAATTACTCTGAGCACGGAATATATTCTTGATAGGAAGAAAGGACAATCACATTAATTAACTCAAAGACAGCAGAAAAGAATTTCACTGCAAATTCTTTATTTTTTCGCTTCAGTATGTACTTCACGCAAATCCCAGAAACTGAAGGGAACAGAAGACTTGCTCAATATGAGACTCAAAACTTTTGGACACTTAGGAGTGGTCATAGTATTTCTCTGGGCAGTGGCCAGTCAAATGACAGAGCTACACTAATGTGGCTAACCCAAAATAGTTGGGACAAGGTACATTAAATGATGAAATTTTGATATATACTGAGTAAATTTCACCTTACTAGCCTTACAACATGTTCTGGCTCCAGGGTTAGGGAGATAATCTAATAATTGGCTTACCCAAACCTAGTGGAATGGAGGTGGGACAACTCTAAGTAGGATTAGGGAAGCAATAGAATTCTTCCAGACAACTCCCTCTTTTCTGTGCTACAGGACATGGTTTTGACTGGAAAAGCCTGCCCCACTGTGGTTTGGCATCCTTTTCTCTTACAATTACATGTCCTATTTTAGTCAGCGAAGAAGCATTTCTATAACAAATGCACAAGTGCAGCATGGTAATGGATCCATCTAAAGGCTGCTCAACCTTGATATATTGTCAACGTGTGGCCACCTTGATATATTGTCAATGTGTGGCCTAGGTTTCTCAATTTGAGTCATTTCTCCCAAAAACCAAACAAATGTGCAAGAAGAAAAGTAAAAATGAGTGTGCGGACAAACATAGTTGTCCACACTGAAAAGTTAGGGAGACTCATGCAACTATATGGCACCTGGCCAGATTTTGCAATTTGAGAGTCGAGTGCTTCTTATGTTACTTCCAATGCTTCCAAGCCGTGCAAGGGTATCAAAAATATTTCCTTGAGGGAAATAAAGGGAACTTAGAAGGTAATAACTAAAAGCTAGTCATGAACACAGATATACTGCTGAATTTACATGATTCATGGAGGTCTCCGCAAATTTAGTCTGACAAAAATTTCTATGGGACTACTATCCAAAATGACTCGAGCCTCTCTGCACAAATCTCACACAGCCCACCAACTAAGTATTTCCCAAAGACCAGGAGTCTCTGATACGTTTTTGCCCTGTTCTACTGACTCGACTTTGATGTATGCACTGATATGCTTAATCAATTAATATGGTTATATACAAGTGTTTCAACCAACTGATGGAAGATTGGCGCACAAACCAAAACAGATTTGAGAAGCTTTTGTCAAAATAAGGACATCAATTGTACGTAGCATTATGAAAAGTTAGGATGATCAGTGCTTAACAATGAACAAGTATAGCCAACCATAAGAACATTCAACATACCAATTCCTGACGAAGCTTCTGATTTTGGTGAATAGCGGAAGCTTTCTCTTCAGTCAATTTAGAAATCATAGACCATGCCTGAAGCATAAATATTTCAAGTTGGAATGGTATTTTTAATAGCAATGGCATGGTAATAAAGCAATCAAATCAAATGTAAAATAACAAAAATATCAGCACACAGATGTACTACTTTATGATGATGGGCAACCACCCGTACGGGATTCAGTGCACAAGGCCTCTACAGAAGGAAAAGCTTAATCCCTTTATGAATCCTATCATCTGAAACAAGTTGATTAATAGACAACTGATTTTTCCTTTCCGTGCACACCCCGTAAGCAACTTGCAAGTCCAGCAACGATGTTAAAATATGAGTCAGACTTTATACCATCTCTTAAATGGCAATGAATCCTATAAGGATACCAACATCCGCTATTACATTTAATAAAATAGTCATCATTAAAGACAAGTGGTGCAAATAAATTTAACATATGATATTCTAATGTCACAAACACACTGCATAGGTTGTCCAGCAAAGAAATAGAGGAAAGCATTCTTAGTTTACTCAAACTTGAACAGCGAACCTTCTCAATATCTCACTCTGTTCCAAGAATTTCTCAAATTGAATAATTACTATGTTGATCGGATAGTGTTATGTGGATATATTTCTATCCGACGACACCAAGAAAAATGTTTAGCCTAACTATATAAAGTGCCCCATTAGTGGTCCCTCAACATGTCAACATAATTGCATAAAATCAAGTTAGCTTGAGAAAAAATGACATCAGAGTGATAAACTCAGAAAAGACCATGTGTACATATGCATGTCGACGAAAAGAAAATGATTATTCACCTCTGCTGATGTAGGTTTCCCTTTGGGCTCCTCCAAAGATCTTTTTACCTAACATTTGCAAAATCAATGAGCATGGGACCATGTACAACCCACTTTGATGAAAAATAAAAAGCAACACAGCCATCACTTACAGCATCATGCAGTGAAGCATTTCCATTCCCATCTGCAGCCGTGAATACCCGGGGAGGAGAACCTTCTTCCGATCCTTCAGGGACTGGTGAAGGGGGATTAGCAGGAATGTAAATAACCCTCAATTTGAACTCGTCAACAACCTTCCCATCCTCCTTATTAAACTACACACAATGGGCACAGCAGCTAAGACTCAGCAAACTACAACCAGAACACTATAATGATAAAACCACAGCTCAAAGAAATATTGACCACCATTTCTGGGGTTATGTCTTTAGGAGTGACACCATTGGGTGCAATAACACTTTGAATGAGAAATTTGTCCTTGCACTGCATTTCAGGAGGTGCCTCTTTCTGAGCTTGCATTGTAACTGCCAAAACGCAAAAACCAAAATTAACTAATAGTCCTCCCAATATCCTCTCCCCCCCCCCCCCCACCCTCACCCCACCCTAACAGCATAGTATTCACACATCCCATTGATACAAATTCACATGAAGAAAAGTGATTGGAATAGATTGGAAAAAAGCATTGCAATTTTACCGTTAACATTGCAAGTACTACCGGGTTGAACAATACCCGTGTTGGGCCTGACACTGTACTTCTTGGGATTGGTAGTTTTAACCTTTTCCATTATAGAGTTCATCAAAAGACAGTCAAAGAAATTATATTGATGGGCAGTCAAAATCTAACTTATCAATTAAAGCTACCTTGAACGCAATATACTGATCAGTCTTATTGTCCAGTTGCATAGAACATGAGCTCTGCTTCCTCAATTCAACTTTCACAACAAAACATTCCAAAAAAATGATCAATACCCAAGTAGAAATTGCAATTATACAAAATAACAAGCAAGAAAATTAGGCCAATTAAAAAACAAAATATCGATTTTCATGTTCGATTACCGAGAAATTAGATAAAAACATGAAATTTTGAATCTTCAGATCATATGGCCCTAATATACGATGACCTCCACTCCACAGAATCGGAATAAAAAACCTGGCTTACTTCAGTTGTTAAAGATAGCAACAAAGTGAACAAAAAGAATCCCAAAAAGATTTAAATATTTTCAATCGCCACTGATTTTCTTGGCAACCAAGCAGAAAGTAAAAGAATTCCAAATCAATAAGACTTACAGGGGAACTTGAGTTCGGTCGGTTGAATATTGAGAAAATCACCGGTACTCATGAGCCTAATTCCACTGATAATCAACAAGAAGATTTGAAAATTTGGTGAACTGGGAGCGTAGATTGGGTACAAATCAATATACAGAAATCCAGGGTTTTCTGGGGACTGATCAGAGATTTACAGGAAAATGGGGTGAATGAAGAAAAAAAACAGATACGGAAACAGATTCTATTATTATTTTTATATATTTATATGTTTTCTATCTGAAATTGTTTTCTTTTGATCCCTGAGTTTTTTCCATTTGTGAATTTTGGTCCTTAAAATTCTAACTTTATCAATTTAATCCCGTTGTTTACACACATGACTAATGAGATCCATAACACCAACATCTGTCTAAAAAAGTGACAAAAAATAATAAGTGATGGGTAGAGTTGATAATCAAGCCGAGTTATTTGGGCTCGACTTCAACTTGTCTCATTTATATTTTAAATAATTGAACTAATCGGTCTCAGTTTGATTTGGGCTCGGTTTAGATTTGGCTCGTTTTATAAACGAACTAAACTTGAATAATATTTTAGGTCCGTTTAAAAAAACAAGTTCGACAGGCTTGTTTTAAGCTCGCATAGGTCAACTAAATTACAAAAGATAGAGATAGGGATCAAATGTGTCAATATCAAGGACTAAATTTATGAAATTAAAATTATAGGGATCAAATTTATACAAATGGTAATTCCTAGGGACTAATGATGCAATTTACACTTTTTTTGGATGCTCTCTCTCCCTCACTCTCTCTCTCTCTCTGAATTCTTTGCTGGCATTGAGTTGTTAGGTTTTCAAAAATTGTTTGGTCCAGGGGGAGATTGTATGACTATTTTAACCCTCTTGTCCTATTCAATTTACACAAGAATGACAACTTTGAGAAGTTGTCATAGTGGGTAACAAGGGTAAACAGTATAATAAGTTAGCTTAGGAATGTGAAATGTATCGGGTTAAATGATTACGTGTCGAATTAAATAGGTGACAAGTAAAAAATATGTAAACTCCTACATGACACGTTTAATAAACAAATAAAAAACTTAAACCTGAACACGAACTGTTTAATAAACGGATAATAAGACACGATTCGTTTAACACTATTGGTTTTTTTTTATGGAATCTAGTTTGTATATGTGATTTGACCCGAAATAATGTTGTGTAGTTTTTAATAGATAATTTTCTGAGGCTTAGTCCATGGAGCGGCCCAAGCCGTAGCGTTCATGGACAAGCCTTGTGGGGGTTCGGGGGCAACGCCCCCGAGGAAATTTTTTTTGGGCCCGTTATACAGCCCAGTGCGTAGGACATATAAACCCTGTTGTTTTGGTGATTAGGGTTAATTGTGGATGGTACAACCGCTCTCTGTATTCAACTCTCTCAATAGTGAAATCCCTGCAGCTTCGTGGACGTAGGCAAATTGTCGAACCACGTAAAATCTGTGTCTTGTTCTTTCTTGTTTCTTATTGCTTTATATTCTTGATTTGTTCTTCGATTGTGTGTGTTTGTTAGTGAATTTAAATCGTGAGAAATCCCAACAAACACGTTTAATTTTAAACGAGTAATGTTGAGTAGGGTTGGGTTAACAAGGTAAAACACTCGTTTGACTCATTTACCTGTTTATTTAAAAATGTTATATAACTTTAAAAAATTAACAAACTAACATAAAAAAAATTGATATTGAGAAATATCACACCATATTACAAAGTACAAAATATAATCCAAAATAACTAAATCCCACCAACAACCATATTATAAATTATAAATACAATATGAAAAAACATAATTACACCAAATAACAATCATATTACAAACCACCAAATTTCATAATTCACAAAAATCCCGTAAAGGAGGACAATCATATTACAAACCACCAAATTCCATGATTCACAAAATTCCGTGAAGGAGATCAAATCTCCACCTCCACGATAACAAGTAAATTCAACAACCAAATTCTCATGTCCCACACAAATTAAAATGAAATATTATATAACATTAATAATTAAATAGACTTATAACTAGATAAGTAACAAAAATTTAGTATTACAAGCTATAACTAGATAAGTAACAAAAATTTAGTATTACAAGCTATATATTTCAATACCTCTCTTTAGTTATGATCAATGATAGATATAGAATTAGAACATTGAACAGATTTAGCTTTATTAGACTTCATATTTTAATTGAAAACATCATCATCTATTTTTCCTTTTAAATCATCACTAAAATCATCTACAACTAAGCACAACAAAACATAAATGTATCAATAATCACAGTTGATGTCTGTGTATTTCCCCATACGATTAGATTTACCTTTTTTTTGTAGTTGTACTAGTTGATGTCTGTGTTGTTGGAGCTGCATCTACCTTAGATTCATGTCTGACCTCATCTTCTTCATCAAAAACTATAAAATTGTGTTTGGAAGAATCCATCTGTTTAAGGCAAAAAAATAGAGTTAAAAAAACAAAGTTAAAAATATGGAAAAAATTTGACATAATCATTAATAGTAAATAAAAGTTGTTAGGATTCAGTCATAAATTTAACAACTCAAACACAGGCCAAAAATTCCACAAAGCTGATGCTCATAAGAATCAGATATATAGTTCAACTATTAATGATAACTTCAGAAGTAACGAAAAGTCCAAAATCTAAGACATTTAAAATGCATGATTTCAAAAAATTAACCAACTTTCAACGAGGGACAGAGATCAAGTTCAATGTTACAAAGGATGATATCTTTTCCGCAAAACTAGGATCCTTCGCACCCACCCTCCACCCCCCAAAATAATAACGCCAATGGAATAACAAGAAGAAAGATGGGTTAGCTGCGTTTCCCCCCTACTTTTCCTCTTTAATCTTTGTAAGTGCACTGAAAAGTAAATCCTTAAAACTAAGTTAGCATAAGATTTGACAAATTGTCTGAAAAATATTGTTTACATATCCTTAAGAAATAAGTAAATGGGAAAACAAATCCATGGTCAATTGTGTCCTTTCCACTGAAGAAAATTGGAAAAGAGAGGAGACAACCTGAAACTTTAGATTGTGACATTCTTTTTCACTCCCTTTATTTTCCTTTTCATGATCCAGCACACAGAACTAAATTGCATATCATGTATCTCTGTCTGGTTGCTGAGATAATTGTCAATAATTTTTTCAAAAAAAGAAACTAAAAATTTAAATATTAGTTATTTGAAATTTCAGATTCTCTATTTTTGCAGTTTCAAATTCTATGTTCATAAGAGCAATTATTCATCAAGAAGGCCTAGAATGTTTGCTTAATGTATAACTGCAAGTATGTCAAAATTGACAGCATTTTAAATCACAAATTTCATTACCCATTGGCCACAATCTATTGCATATTTGCAAATTCAGACCACTCAGCTAGCAAAATTATATGAGAGCCATGGTAGCTTCCTGTGAAGTATGATATCCATCAATTTGAGGTTTTCCAATGACAAAAAGGAGATAAAAAACACAAATAAAACAGAACAAAAACTTAGAAGTCACCAATGAAGATTGAATCCAAGCAACTAAAATCTGTAGGAATATAGAAGTGCCCAAAACACTAGCAAGAACTAAAAAAAAAAGGTGGGTCTGGGTCCTGTGACCTATTAGCCTTGCAATTTTCAGCAAAAAATGGGCTGTGGAAGAATATAAGATTAGATCCCAAACTAAATCATTGAAGATCACTAGTAGCTCTTGAAAGTTCTACACTATAATTGCTTGCAAGCAGTCCATAGAATATATACACTCACATGTAGAAGGAAGAGAAGCAAAGAAACTCGTACATACTCTAAAAATTTGAAATGTGGATAGAAAAGATTCAATAGAAATTGAAAAAAAAAACATATCCCTTCGATGTCTTTGTTTTAAGTCTCCGTCTGGCCCAAGACACCAACTACTCGCTGAGTTGTTGTCAAGAGAGAGAGAGAAGCAGAAGAGTTAGAGGTACAAGTTGAAGGATTCAACGTAGAAACTAGAAAGAATTAGGGTTTGGACTTTAGAATTAGGGAAACATATCTTTATATATTTTTTTGTGTGTCTGTCACTAAAAATTTTTTTTTGGCTATTTTTTAAAAAATAATTATTAATTTATTATTATATTAATTTTATTTAAACGGGTAAATGAATTACAAACGGATTGACAAGTCTAACCCGAACACGACATATTTATTAAACGTGTTTAACAGGTCGACCCGTTTATCATCCAAACCCGTTAAGGTCTCACTCGAACCCGCTCAATCCGTATCGATTCATGGCAATTAATCGTGACGTATTGGATTTTGACATACGTAGATTAATTGTGAACCTAGCCTGCCGTTGTGCAAGCTAGGGCAAGTCCTAACCTCGACAATGAATGTTAATGGCAAATATGACAAAGGCCAACTCTCTTTTGGGGCTTTTTAGAATTTAATTCAAGTATAAAAAATATTTATCCAAATTCTAGTTGAGAATCTTGATTGGTTCACGCTAAACCGTTTCGATTACACTTCTAGCAGACTAACATAGTTAGAGATCATAAAATTTTATCTAAAAGGACCGTGAAAGGATAGATATTGGTAGAATTTTTGGAAGCATATCCTCTCCGGATTCACATTAGGCCGTACAAGCTCTATGTCCCAATACTTGGTATGAATACTGGTGATGATAAAATTCAAACACATGTCTCCACTTATTAATAGTTCAATATCGACTTGCAAGTTTGATGAACGTTTTTTTCGGGTTTTGTGATTCGAATCACACGAGCTCTATAAAAGAACGACAACTTGATTTGGAGTCAGAGGATCAACCCACGGAGTCTCTGATCTTTGCGAAAGGAAATGAAAAAACAACCGAAGCTTAGGTCCTCTAAATTTAAAGGCCAAACCAGCTCTTGTGGAGTATTATTGGGCTTGGCTTTGGTCTCATGGTTATTGAGGCCCTAATCCTTTCAAGTCTCACACACTACTTTGGCTATGTTTAAAACCGTGGGCCAAGCTTGAAATTATTGCTAGGTTGAAATTAGAAAGACCAAGACTTTGTCTCTCTTGTCACGTCACAAGCAAAGTGGGGCCCAAAGGCCCAAAAGTCCTGGGCTCAAAATATTTCATTGCTTCAAACAATGTCATTGTCAAGAATAAGTCAAACCCCATCTTTTTGGTCAAAGCATACATAGCTAGAGTTGAACC